CCCACAAATCCAATCATGCTCCCATAGCTCCTACTATCCATCCATTCATTCACTCAGCGATACACCTTGAAGTTTGTATTTGAAAGTAAATTGAAATTAAGTGGTTTTCGAGGCATCATTTGTTCAATAAAACCACAAAGCGGAGGAAGAGGATGTAGAACAACAACTACCAAATATTGTATTCAATGATATAAATAAAAACAATAACAACAGCAGTGATATTGAACAGCCATGGAAGACATATTTATCCTTTATAGCAAGTGCCGGCAATGGTGAGAAAGATAACCGTTTGTCAAATACTTGTCTGCATTTGGGGTCAACTGTGGCCCATAGTATAATAATTATGTTATCTGAATTTACTTTAAAATATGACCTTTGATGGTCAATAAAAAAACATGTATTAAAAATCACCACTGCAGCATGTATTGTGATTGAAAAATAATTTAAAAAGAGAATCCACGACTAAATCTCTGAAAGTTTTCGAAAAATATGTCTAAAATCTGTTATTATACAGTCCTTAAAAAGGTAAGTTAAAAATCTACAACTATTGCTGGTTGAAACTTTTTAAATGTTATTTTTTTACTAAATACAAAAAAATATTTAAAACACATTTTAAAGTCCTCTTATATCATTGTCGAGTAAATGAGTTTGTAAAGATATAGGACTATTACTCTGAAATATGTCTAAACAATTATTTATAATAAAAAATTATAAAAAATTTCATTACAAATTCAGAAAAGTTTTTAAAATGTGATCTTCAAAATTCTAGGCAAATCATTGAAAAATGTGTTGACACCATTTAAAGGTCTTTGCAACATATTTTAATAAGTAGTGAAAAGAGTTAGAAAAGTTAGAACTTTGAATACCCTCCGCCATTTGGAACGAATTTGGCAATTTTCCAAAGAAATAACATCGTTTAAAAATCCTGTCAAATCAATACGGCGATGTTGACCTGCATAGGCAGCTTTTGTCAGAAACCAATAAAATATTCAAATGCGAAACTTGAAAAAAATCGGTGAATAATGTACCTAAAATCATCAAAATTCCGAATATAGGGAGGAGCCGTTGGTTATTGGGGCTAATCGAAGACGTGGCCAATTTCTTGTCATAGTCTGTAGTATTCATTACGAACTTCAAATAAAAAATTTGAAACAATTCCGGTGAATAATGTCGCTTAAATCACCAAAATACCGAAAAATTGGAGGTACCGTTATATGGGGGCTATACCAAAACGTGGACCTACATCACCTATTTTCAATACCAAAAGTCCTGCAGACATAATTCATATTTGAGTAAAATTTTATCAACCTACTTCATTTCGTTCGGAAGCTAGAGTGATTTCCACAGGCGGACAGACAGACAGGGCATCGCTAAATCGACATAGAAATTTTTGCTGATCAAGTATATATATACTTTGTGGGGTCTAAAATGTATATTTCGAGGTGTTACAAACGGAATGACAAACTTAATATACCCTCCATGCTATGGTGGAAAATTTACAACACCTCGAAACATCGAAATAAAATTTGTAACACCGCAACACTAAGCGTTTGAGTATTATATACAAGTCGCTTTTATCGTCCGAACCTTACGAAATTTTGCATGGGGGTAGGGTTTGAGTCAGAATTAAAGGCTATTGTTTTTAAAGATGTACATTTAGGGGTTCAAATGGACCAAAAAATCGTTTTACAGTTCTCAATTGAAAACCAATCGACACGGAGTTTTTTTCCTGAGAAGAGAGCTGAGGACAGGGAACAAGTCTAACAGTTTGGATGACCACTGGATTATATTTAGCTGTAAAATGGACTACAACTTTCGTATGAAATTGTTTTGAATAACTAACAATATGAAGAAGTGCCTAAATATTGGATAAGGTTAACATCTGGACAGGGTTCTATGATATTATTTCAAACACAAAATCTTCCAAAATGGATTTAGAGATAAGGGGGCTTTCTCAAAAAAAAAAAAAAAAAAAAAAAAAAAAAAATTAAAACATAAGCCGATGTGATATACTACAATATGTTTGTAGTATATCACATCGGCTTATGTTTTCATTTTTTTTTTTTTTTTGAGAAATAAAAATATATTAAAAAAAATCACAATGGAAAGTTCTTAAAAAATATTTAGAAATCTAAAAGCCATAAAACACATTTCAAAAAATCCTCAACACTGAAAGTCTTGAATTACTCTGGAAAAATCCACAACTTTGAAAATTTAGAGAAATATTTAAAATACAAAATCACGGTTCTGAAAGTCCGAAAAATATTTTTAATAAACCCTTTCTCTGAAAGTGCTGAAGTTGTATTTTTTAAAAATGTACTCCTCTGTAAGTAATGACCAAATGTTTAAAGATTCTAGAAAGTGGAACTCGTGAGAAAATTCAAAACAATTAACGGGTGTGAAAGTCGACATAAATCCAAGTCTACGAAAATCGTTGATAAAATATTTAAAAAAATCCACGAATGTGGAAGTCGTCAAATTTTAAAAATTTATAATATTTTCTACTTGAAAGCTTAGCCTTGAAAATAATTATATTGTACGACACCGAGAGAACGTGGTAAACATATTCATATAAAATCCACGACGTTCACAATATATTAAAAAAAAAAAAAAATAAACAGAATTCTAAAAGTTCTTGAAGATATTGTTTTTATTCACGTTTCCGAATGCTTTGAACATATTTTGTTTAAATCCAAAAAAAAAAAAAAAAAAAACATTCATTCAAAAATTATGTTTAAATAATCCACAGCATGGAAAGTAATAAAAAAATCTTAAATAAAATATTTTTTAAAAAATTCACGACTATGGAAATCCTTAGAATAATAGGTTTAAAAATAAGACTTTTGAAGATATACAGGGTAAGATAATAAACTGCAACAGTGTCAAACGCCATAATTTTTACATTTTTTCAAGTTTTATTGAATGAAAGCAAAAAATGTTGGACTATTGGTGTGAGAAAAGAGGATTTTCTTAATTCTTGAAAACAAATCTTTTTTATACCCTCCACCAAAAAAAGTGTGGAGGGTATATTAAGTTCGTCATTCCGTTTGTAACTCATCGAAATAATCATTTTAGACCCAACAAAGTATATATATTCTTGATCAGCGTAAAATTCTAAGACGATTTAGCCCTGTCAGTCCTTCTGTCCGTCCGTCCGTCTGTTGTAATCACGCTACAGTCTAAACGAATTAAGATAGGAAGCTAAAATTTTGCACAGATCTTTCTTTTGTCTGCAGACAGGTCAAGTTCGAAGATGGGCTATATCGGTCCACGATATCGTATACCCCCCATATAACGGTACCCCCGATATTCGGTATTTTGATGATGTTAGCCACATTTTTCAATGGCATTGTCTGAAATTCCACAAAAGGAAGATTTGTCTATATAGGTCCACGATATCGTATATCCCCCATATAACTGTACCCCCCGATATTCGGTATTTTGATGTTGTTAGCCACATTTTTCAATGGAATTGCCTTAAAATCCACATAAGTAGTTCCTTGTGAGTACTTTACCCCCTGAGAGAGAATTGTCTATACAGGTCTACAATATCGTATATCCCCCATATAACGGTACCCCCCGATATTCGGTATTTTGATGATTTTACCCACATTTTTCATCGGAATTGTCTGAAAAGGAGTTCCTTGTGGGTACTTTATACCTCGGCAGAGAATCATCTATATAGGTCCACGATATCATATAGCCCTCATATAACGGTACCCCCGGTATTCGGTATTTTGATGAGTTTATCCACGTTTTTCAATGGAATTGTCTGAAATTCCACAAAAGGAGTCCTTGTGGGCATTTTACCCCCTCAAAAAGAATTGTCTATATAGGTCCACGATATCGTATATCCCCCATATAACTGTACCCCCGATATTCGGTATTTTGATGATGTTACCCACACTTTTCAATAGAATTGTCTTAAAATCCACACAAGTAGTTCCTTGTGAGTACTTCACCCCCTGAGAGAGAATTGTCTATACAGGTCCACGATATCGTATAGCCCCCATATAACGGTACCCCCCCATATTCGGTATTTTTATGATTTTATCCACATTTTTCATAGGAATTGTCTGAAAATCCACACAAGGAGTTCCTTACGGGTACTTTATACCTCGGCAGAGAATTATCTATATACGTCCACGATATCGTATAGCCCTCAAATAACGGTACCCCCGATATTCGGTATTTTGATGTTTTTAGCCGTATTTTTCAACGGAATGGTCACAAGGGGTTCTTTGTGAGCACTTTACCCCCCGACAGAGAATTCTCTATAGGTTAGCGATATTCGGTATTTTGATGATTTTAGATACTTTTTCCAATTGAATTATCTGAAAATCCACACAAGGAGTTCCTTGTGAGTACTTTACACGCAGACATAGATTTATCTTTATAGGTCCACAATATCGTATATACCCCCATATATCGGCACCTTCCTATATTAGATATTTTAAAGATTTTAAAAGAATTTTTAATTGATTTTATTTTTTGAAAATTTTGTAATTCGTTTCAAATGGTGGAGGGTATTCCTAGTTCGGCCCGGCCGAACTTACTGCTTTTTTACTTGTTTTTATTATGTTTACGACATAATTTGAATGTTCTCACTAAAATTTATTTGAAATTCGAATCTTTTAAAACGTTTTAAAATCCACGACTGCAACTTTGAAAGCCGTTTCGAAACGTTCTTGATAAAATACACTTTCAAAGTCCGCGTCAATAGATCCAAAAGCACTTGGGAAATTTATTGTAAATATTCTTTGTGGTTTCTAGGAGCCACTGCATTGCCCTTTCTCAATCGACAGACGAAAATCGACCGAGCTACCTTTCCGACATAAATAAAAACACAACAACAGTAACAACTATTTAAATGAAATTGGCATCCCGATTGAAATCGTAATCGCATCAATGAGGGGAATAAAAAAAATGACGAGATTCAATGCCAATGGAAGTCGAAGACAGACTAGGTGGACGATGCAAATCTGATTGTGTTCACTTACCATTTAATGTTGAGGTTAGGGTATCCGATGTTGAGTTTGTTGAATTGGTTAGCGTTGTGTTGGCCGCGTCTCTTGTTGTACTGGCGTGACGGGTTAGAAAGTCCTGGCGTCGCTGCTCAATTATGGAATTAATTGAATGCTGTTGCAGCAGTTCAGTGCCAACTGTGGCCGCAGCGGCTGCGGCAGCAGCTGTCAATGTCGTTGTGTCTGCTGACAGGCCAGTAATGGTGTTGTTGGGAGATCTCATCGCGCCCGGGGATGTAGTTGTATTCAATGAAGCTTGATGGCAGTTGGAATCATTTGAATTGAACTGGAAAAAGAGAAGGAGGAAGAAGAAAATGAAAAAACAACCGTTAGATTGGTGTATTCACAGTTATTCAAATAATTAAGACAATTAAGCTGTGATAATTGTTTGCAAAAACAGCCAAAGAAAGAGTAACACACAAATGTCAAGTGCGGCATAATTGTTGAGAGATTTCCGGTGCTATTGTTGTTGTTGTTGTTGCTGTCGTTATTTATTCGTTGAATGCCAAAAAGAAAGAATGCCTTTCATTTAATTGTGTTAATATTTACACTTGGGGAATTTGTGGATAGACATCACCCAGCAAAAGTCCCTGAGCTCAGCAGGTAAACATTAGCAAAAGAACAACTGTCATCAGAGCAGAAGAGCTCCTAAAGTGTGTCTTGTTAAGGAAACCCCGTTAAGGAGTTGCAACAGTTTGAAACACAGCGGCATGAGTATTTCTAAACATACAGACATACATAGGTGCACGAATACATATATTCACACAAAACACGCAAACTTGTCAATGAAGACTCATTATTTTTCTTCACATACGTCAAGAGTTGGGAGACAGTGGTTTTAATGATTTGTTTTTTTTAAATCTAACATGGATTCACATAGTTATTCGAAAGATGAAAATACTTGTTTTAAATCCATGAATCAAAGCGTGATAGGAATTTAAAAAGTAATTTTGAAAAATCCAAGACCCTCATCCTTAAAATTTTGGACAGTTATTTGATCAAAATAAGTTATAAAAAAAATCACGTCTTCAGAAACAATACTTTTTTAAATCCACGACTCGAGGTGTACAGGCCCATGAAAAAATACCATAATACCATACCATACACGACTCAAGCTGTGTAAGTCTTTGTTTATTTTTAATTCAAAACTTAAGGTATGAAGATCATTGAAAATCATTGAAAGGTCGTTGCAAATAACAATTTTCATAAATCTACTAATTAGGCGTTCAAGACCTTGAAAAAATATTTTTAACAAATTTGCTACTTAAAATCTTCAAAATTGCAGATAAAAAAGCTTAAGGTTAAAAGGTCATTTTAAAAAATAAGTTATAACATGCCACGACTGAAGTCTAATCCGAAATTTTTATAAATCCACGTCATAACTATTAAATTTTCTTGAAAAAAATAGAATCTAAAATCCTTGTCCTTAAATTTTTTTTTGGATTATCCACAACTCAAGGTTTGGAATACTTAAAGGTTATTAATACTTTTTTGACCATAATAAATTATAAAAAATTCACGTCTTCAGAAACTTTACTTTTTTAAATCCACGACTCGAGGTGTACAGCCTCATAAAAAAATACCTTTTTGAAAAATACATAACACAACCTGTAAAAGCCCTTGAAAATCAGTTCTTGGAATATACACGACTCAAGCTGTATAAGTCTTTGATTATTTTTGAAGTCCTCAACTTAAAGTATGAAGATCATTTAAAATAATACGTTTTGAAAATCAACGAGATACCGCCTAAAGGTCCTTGCAAATAACAATTTTTAAAAATCTGCTAATTAGGGTCTTAAATTGTAGATAAAAAAGTTATTGAAAAACCCACGACTTGAGGCTAAAGGGTCATTGTAAAAAACAAGTTATAACAATCCATAACTGAAATCTAATTTAGTCTTAAATTCTAAATATCCTTGAAAAAAATACGTTTTACAAATCCAAGACTAAGGATCTGAAATCATTGCCCTTAATTTTTTTTTTTTGAAAAAATTTACTGGTTTAAATTCTGAAAGTCTATAAATAATCTTTCATTCATTTCTGAAATTATTTCTCTATATCAACATGAGTTTAAAAAGATTTTCAAAAAGTCGCGAAGTCCTCAATTTTTTAAAGTACTTATAAATTTATTTTTTTTAAAAATTTACAATTTAGAGTCTTTGAAAAATGCGCTAAAAACCCGCAACATAGAAGTTCTTAACGAATATTTTATTACGAATACACGACTCAATTTCTCAAAGTTTTCAAAATAACAAGTAAAACAGCTGTAAGTTCGGCCGGGCCGAACTTTGAATACCCTCCAAAATTTAGATCGAATTTAGGCAAATTTCAATAAAAAATTATGTTAAAATCTTAAAAATACCAAATGTAGCCGTCATCTGAACGACGATGTGGACCTGCATGGGCAACTTTTGTCATAAGCCATTACAATATTCAAATGCGGTTAATAATGAAGCTAATATCATATATATAGGGAGATATACCAAAATGTGAACCTGCACAGACAATTATCTGCCTGAGGCTGCAGTATCCATTACGAACTTCAAATATCAAATTTGAAACAATTTCGATGAATAATGTCGCTAAGAAAATCAATATACCAAATATGGGGGCTATACGAAGACGTTGATCTGTACAGACAATCTCCTGTCATTGGCTGTAGTATCCATTTCGAACTTCAAATACCGAATTTGAAACAATTCCGGTGAATAATGTCGTTAAAATCATCAAAATACCGAGTATCGGGAGGTACCGTTAAAATGTGGACCTACATTTTCAAAACCAAAAGTCCTGCAAATATAATATGCTTTTGGGTAAAACTTTAACAACCTACTTCATTTCGTTCTGAAGCTAGAGTGATTTCCACAGACGGGCAGAGAGATAAAAGGACAGACGGACGGACATCCCTAAATTGACATATAATTTTATGCTGATCAAGAATATATATACTTTGTGGGGTCTAAAATGTATATTTCGAGGCTTTACAAACGGAATGACGAACTTAATATACCCTCCATACTATGGTGGAGGGTATAAAAATCGAAGATTTATATTCTTAAAAAATGGGAACTATTGATCTGAATATTCTTTTAAAAACTGTTTCTTTAAAAGTCTGAGGAAAATGTCATTGAAAAACTCACACCTATAGCATGGAATATCCTTGGGAAATTTTCTCTTTAAAACTTCTTGAAACCCTGTTTTTAAAAACCAGGGAATGTAGCTCTTTAGAATATTAAGGACATGAAAGTTCTTGAAATGTATATAGTTTGAGATGACATTTTTTTTCATTTTCAATCACTGTGAAAAAAAAGAAAAAAGAGTAAATTTCGACAAGTTCACCAAAAGATTTCCAGGGCACTTGAGCCCCTTGCAGACGTCATAGTTGTGCCCGAAATGAACAGCAAACAAAATTACGGTACATACAATTTGTCATATGTACGTGTGTGTATGGCCATGGGATGACGACGACGACGACAACACAACGACAGAATGCCACCAGCAACAGCTTCAACAGCCGAAAGAGTGAGCCGTAGCTGTGAAAACTTGAAGAACAAAATGAAGCACTTGAATAAAAACGTTTTGGCGCGCAATTAAAAGAGCATCAAGTGTCAGATAAAGTGGCAGTAAAGTACACTTAACAAAATGCCAAATTAGTACAAATATTGTTATCAGCTCCCACACAACTACTCGCACAGGATGGCAATTTTCCGGCAATACATTTTGGATTTTGCTTCGTCTGTCTGCTTGCCTACCATACATCTCTGGACGGGTTGTGTTCCTTCAATAGTTTCGTTTCGTGTTATTTTTACTTTTTTTTTTCTATTTATGGATGTTTGTTTATTTTCCGTTTTCCTTCACTCATTCTATCCTTGTATTTGCCATGCCCGCTTCGCTACGACCCAAATGAGTGCAGAACACTTGAAGCTTGTTGTTTGAAATACACAAAACACAATTAAACACAAATGACGAAACCAAGATGAGGACGGGCATGACGGCGAGGACAACGACGGCGACGACGATGGCTTTGGTGACGACAGCGGCAACGAATTTGTTTTTCACAACTCATTATGGAAGATTAACGACGATGAACAGTAAATGGCTATGGAATAACAGCAACAACATAAATTCAGCTACAGGACATTCGGTACAGCAACAAAAAGCATTCACACTTTCACAGCCGCAAAACGAATTGCAAGGAAACTGCCTCAAAAGGAAAAAAATAACAACAAGCAAATTAAGGCGGCAACAAGTTGTAAGGGAGAAACGAAAAGAAAAATAACGAATCAACTTATACGAAGAGCCGCAAAATGCCTAGACAACGTAGAGGAAAAAATAACAATCCTTTGGTATCCTTCCACGTTAATCTCCCTCGCCCAAAAAAACACAGCCGTCACATCATTGCAGATTCTCTCGTTCTCGAAAATGTGGCCTCTACTCAATGAACGGGCAACTGAAGTCAAACAGACCCTGAATTAGTCATCCTCCCTCTTACCACCTGCTACACACTGCGATTGACAATTACAAATCCTTTTGATGGGCGTAAAAGGATACTCTCGAAAACTGTGAGTGGGAATAGAAAAAATGTGGGAACAGGCGTCAAACCAAAGTAAACACCGCATGAAAGTGACGACTTCATTTTGGACAGAAAAAAATCTCTTTTTTGCATTCAATTTATCTATAAAATTACATTCGAGAACAACGTCAGAGATCCTTATTCGACTGTCACGTACGTGTTTGGATTTCAATTGATGGGAGCTTTTAGTGTCCTTGTAGGACACTAGGTATGATGTAAAGGATTTTTTTTTGAAGAGAGCTAAAGTTAATTTTTTCAGTTTTCCAACTCGGTGAAGCGGAGTAAAAAATCTAAGGTTCTGCACAATACATTATAATGTCCTCTAAAAAATCCTATCAACTAATTTTAAAATAATTTACGGCGATACTCTTATACCAACCTATAACCATGATGAAAAGATATTCTTAATAAAAATTTATGACCACAGCTTTTAAAGACCTTGAAAATATATTCTTAGAAATACCTTAAAATATGTTTGGAAGGATATTCAGTCCGAAAGTGTCAGATAAGGCTGGGTTTTGGGAAATGTGTACTATGAATAAACGAAAAGGACCAAAATGTTCTATATTTGGTACCATTTCGTATCATGTGAACGATAAGAGTTAAACATTTGAAATTAAGAATGGTAATCAAGGTTGAGGAGTAGAGTAGGGATGTAGTTTTGGAAGTGTATGCTCATATATACGAAAAGTTCTAAAGAGCACTAAAATTGC